TTTTTGAACTGAGACATGATAGAAAAAAATCACAAAAGGTATTGACTTTTTTGACCTATTGACCAATTTGACTTAGAACTTATGTACTTCGAAAAATAAATAAGAAGTCAATAGATAGATGGGACATATGCGGGAAATACAATGGAAGATTAATAGTGTTGCTCTACAAGCAGCAGTAGTGGTGGTTGCAGTAAGATTAATAGTTGTAACAGTTAACATAGGTTGAGCACTGAGTATTACTATTCAAAGATTAGACAGCTAGGTTGATGATTATAATGCAATGCACACAACAACATATGAGGAGGGTAGCATTCTTGTTATCCCCATTTTGCAGATGTGGAGACTGAGACATAGAGGTTTTAGGTAATTTTCCCACAAAATGGGGTATCCTGGGTCTAACCAAGCAATCTGCCTATCTGTAGAGACTGTGTACTTTAGCAATAAATAAGTGCAAAAGGGACCTAAATATATAATTCAACAAGAGAGAAAAATCTAGTATTGTCATAATGAAATGGAAAGCTATTAAGCCAAGGTCCCAAACATCAGACACTAAGCAGTTCTTCAGATTGATGAAGGAGATATATACAAAGAATAAGAATGGGCCAAATAACTGTTAACCAGAAGGTTCTTAGAACTCAGATGTTAGTGTACATTCCTCAGGAATTAGGCTGGACCACACGTGAACTCCTTCTGTCCTTCTGGACTCAGATGTAGACTAAAAGCAGCCCTCTTTGCATTCTTGTTCCTCGTCTCTTTACCCTATCTAGTCTTGTTTTTAAAATATTACCACTTTTTTTGTGAGAAGTGGCAAAGAAAGATGAGACCATGGAAAACAGAGGAAAAAACAAACAGGATTTCTCCCTAAGGCTTGGGATAGATTGCTCAAGATACTAGTCCTAGGCCCTCCTAAAGTAGAAGATGAGGAAGTAAATTGGGAGGTGGTCCAGGCTTGGAATAACACGTCATAGAGAGTTTTGAGAGAGAATAGCAATCAAAATAGGAAAAGTACTAGCATCAGAAAGTGAAGAATTTACTGGAATGCTCAGATCTAATGTATCCTGGTTTCAATGGCCTGATTACACCAGAGGCCTGACATGTCTCAACACTTTCTCAGTGCAAGGAGTGATCTTGAGCTCCCTTTTAAGGCCAGAATTAATACACATAACTCATATTTAATTATGCTACCTCAAGATTATTTAATAGTTAGGATAATGTTGCATGCAAGACAAATAAGTTCAACTCCAGAAAAGATGTAAAAGCTAAGTTTCTCCAAGGATCCATCAGAGAGGCTTAAAGAAGGATTATAATATGTGACATTCATAAAAATGTCCTAAAATAAACTTCACCTATTTCTGTCCCCCAGGGTCCCATTAGAGCAACTGCTTTCCTAGAACCTAGACTGTTTCTCAAAAGCTCCAACACAAGTTAGCTTATCTGTCTCCTAATAGTCCCCTCACCTTGTGGATCTTCTTAGCTCACAAACATCTCCATGCCGTTTCTAAGGTAAACGGAGTTTCTGCAATTCTGCACAGTTCAACACAACACAGCCCTAAAAAGGGAGCAGAGAAATGCAGAAATTGTCTTAGAATGCAGGCTTTTGAAAAGGAGTGTAAATATCTTTTTACCTTGGCACATAAATATATAGAAACTGTTTAACCTCACTAGAACTGAAAAATGCAAGACAAAAGAACAAGGTAGCATTTTTATTGCCCATTATATTAACATCAAAAAAGGTTTTTATGTGAACACCCAATAAAAAGCAAGGATGTGATGAAACAGATACTCTTGTATGTTGAAGGTACCATTATAAATTGGCAAAAACACTTATGAAGAAACAATTATGTAATATATGTAGAGAATAATATAAATATTTGTGCCAGTGAGCCCTCCTAGGAATCCAATCTAATGACATAATGTAAAATATAAAAATAATTTATGCATTTTTATTAAGGTTTTCATGAGAAAGAAAACTAGAAGCAACTTAAATACACATTAGAAATCATGGAATGCACTATGATACATCTACCAGAATCGATTAGTTTCCCTCGGTAGTAATTTCCATTTCTATTACGTAATTATGTGAGAACTTAGATGCATGAGAAAATGTACTGGAGAGAATGTACCAAAACGTTTTTGGGTGTTAGGATTATGGGTAATACTTTTCTTTTGTCCTGTTTTACAAATTTTCAGCTGTAATTATATAACTGTTATGACAAGGATTGTAATTTAAAAAGAAAAAAGTCTTCACTGCATGTGCAAGATAAAATGAGAGTGTGCGAGTGAAGCCAATGTCTTTTTATGTTAGAAAAAATCTTAGCCAGAGTACGGAAGAAAAATTAGGACTAATTGTCACTGGTTGAGGGATCCCGTTCAATCACGTTGTGTGCCAGACTGATGTTTTCATGGCTTTTGTCATCCTTTTAGGCTCACGGGATGCTCTCATAGGTGGTAAGTTTTATGAAGGGTTTGCTGAGGAATTCTAGCATCTTCAACAGTAAGTGTCCACTCATAATGAATGAAATGTAAAAAGAGAGAGCAAAATATCTTGAACCGTGAATTCAGTTAGAAAGAAAATAATGAGGTTAGGGTGTGGTGACACTGGCATCCTCACATGCATATGGAGTAACCTTCAGCAAAAGTTCCTTACCATCTTTGAACCATTACGAATGAATAATTATTAATCAGTATCAAAAATTCTGAAGAATGCAACTTCCTCCTTGGTTTATAACCTGGGAGTGTGCTTTCAGATGGTAGTCACGCCTCATTGAAAGCCACAAGACCAGTTTTCTGAGCCCATTTCTGCAATCAGCTTATACGTGAAGAATAGTTTTGTAATGGAGTTTGCTTCCAAGGGCATTCCTGTTGTACAGAATAGCCCGTGTCTTACGTCTTACACAAGAAACATGGGCAGGGCATGGAGAGCTGGAGTCTAGCAGCCCCCCTGCTGGTTCTCACCTGCTTGTTGAAAGGTTGCTATTGGACTAAAGATTACAGGACTGTTCTGCTCACCCCTTAACTATAACCCTGTGGTAGTAAGACTAATGCTCTAGAGGGAACCCAGAGTAAAGCAGAATTTATAGTTACATCTAAAAAAACCGTTGTCGACCCCTAGTGGGACTGGATATTAAGATCGAGTTTAAGACCTCTGGGTTATATTTTCCATGTATTTAGTTACCTTGTTTTACTGCCCCTAGGCATTGTCTTTGGTATGACCTTCTTTATTTTGGTCATCATTGTTTCCTGTTGGAAAATTCTGAAGCACAGAAAAGGGTAAGTACAGCCATATTTTCCTGGAAAGTGTAAACTGTACTTGCTCCTCTTGGAAGTCAAAGTGGGGTAAAAGAAAACTTAAAAACAAAACAAAAAACATTGCTCCATAAACAGATGAAGTAATTCTTATAAAGAAAGTCCTTTACACATATTATAGACAGAGAAGTATTCACAGTAAAGGAAATATATATGATACTAAGAATACTTTTTTTAAGCTTAGCATTTTAAGAGGGAATTGAGTTTTACACGAAGAGAAAATAGGCAGGAGTTTTTTTTAAAAGATATGCACGAGGCTGTTGATATCCTAGTTTTGCTAAGGCATTGCAGACACTGACCTCTAAACCCAGATCCTATCACAGCACTAGAAATTAGATTGTGTCTCCCACTGGCACACGTATCACAGGCTGCCAGCGTGGAAGAATTGAGACTTTCCAGAGGGTATTTGAAAAAAAACCAAATCCCTTCTGTAAGCACCATTTACCTTTGAAACATGCAAAAAAAAAGCCTTACAAAGATTAAGGTCTGAATGAAGAAACGTTTTGGCCAGGGAAGAGAACATACACAGCATTGGTACTGATTGATTGATTTATAACAAAATTACTAAGGTCAGAGTTGCTAATATCAATGTTATAAAGCTGATGAACAAATTCTATACCCATGAGAAACACAGTTCACAACTTTTAAGTGAATAGTTCTCTAGAGCAAACGTTCTAAACAAATGTCGTTTCCTACCAGAAGTTTTGCAGAAATCGAAGTTTTGATATTTCACAGGGAAGCCAATGCACTTTTTAAAAAGTCGATTGTTGCAGTAAACCTTCTTGCAAACAACCAGACATGAACTCAATTTCATGAAAAAAATAAATTAGTAGAGATTTAAATTTAAGTTAAATCTTTTTTCTTCCTAACTAATGTCCTCCATATTTTGTGGCTTGACATGTAAATATTCTTCGCCCTTTTTCATTACAAAAAGAAAAGGTAAGTAGCCTGATGGTTTATGTTAACAAAAGTACTTGTGTCAACACACTTTTCCTCTTAAAGTTTCTCATTAGGTGCCGCTATAATTTGGGAGTTAACTTTTAAAACTTTTTACGAAGGCTGAATTAAAGAAGTTGGGGCTTTTAATTTTTCTGTATCTTTATCAGTCTTTAGTTAAGCCACCCAAGGAAAATGATTACCTCTTCCTGTTGAAAATACCTCTGTCCTTCTAACTACTTCATCCACTGTGGCCTATTCTTGGTTAATCAACTAGAGGGTCAAATTCTTAAATCTCATTACTGACTTGTTTCACCCATGTCATTTAAAATCATTCCCTCCTATTAATCATCTTTAGACATAAACATGACAATAATTATTTCATAAAATTATGTCCTCAGAAATGATTGTCTTGTCTAATCTAAACAACCTCAGAACATATACCATTTCTTCATAAGATGTTTTCCATCTCTTAAAACCTGCCTCCTGTTTTTTCTATATTCTTTCTATATTCTTGCACAACCATTCTTTCTCCAACCGGTGGCAACCAGGGATGTGGCAGGGAGAAGGGTCATGGTCCTCTTTAGCATTAAAGATCAGGAAGGTAAACCTCCCGAACATCTAAGTAAGCCACAGTGAAACCTGTTACATATGTGTAATCCAGGAAATTTTCAAAGTATTTTCTAAATTTTTATTTTTGGCCTGTTTCACTTCTTGGGATAGTGAGTGCACGACTGTAACAAAATGCTATTTATTTTCATGCTGGAAGTAATGCATAGCTAAAATTGGGGAGAGGAAGTACTAAACTTAAGTAATCAGAACGCAGAAGGCTCTGCTCTTGGAAGCAGTTGGGCTGATTAATCATTCAGCGGGTGTAGCCAGCAAGCTAAGTCTGCGGCTGCGTAGGGAGGACTGATTATTCTTTATCTGGAGCTCAGGCTTTTCCCGCAGGAAGGCGAGGGCACAGAAGTCCTCAAAGTAAGGAAGGAATCTGTATGAGAGACACAGAATATAAAAGGGGGAGTACCTAAGTAGTCATCTAGCCCCGAGAGCAGTTTATCTCAGAGCTAAAAAAGATGGACAGAGATATTAATAGACTAGCTTAGAACAAGGTGACCTGCTCCATGGGAGATCTGCAATCAAACCAGGCCTGGAAGGGTGCAGGATGAAGTGTCCCTCCCACACCAGAGACAGTTCAGGAACTGCATAAGCAGTCTGAAGATGTACTAAGAAACTGAGACAAAAATAGAAAGAATACAGGCACGCACACACACACACAGAGATGATCTCACCTTCTTCAAAGCATTCCTCAATGAGGCCTACTTTATCCTATTAAAGCCTGCATCTCCCAATCTCTCTCATCCTGCTCTATTTTTTCTCATAGCCTTCTTACCTCTTATAATCAATTAAGCAATTAAGTTTCTTTTTTACTGTCTCTCTCCTTCCACTAAAATGTAAACTCCATGAAGTCAGGGATTTTTGTCTCACCTTCACCAATGGATATAAAACAAACTTGAACTGTTCCGGGCACAAAGAGTTGCTCAATAAATATTTGCTAAACGGATGGGTATGCTGAACACCGCTGCGAGTGTTAGCGCAAAAGGAAACATTCTGCTCTCACTTTCTACCAAGTTCAATAGTACATCTTTAACTTGTCCTAAATTTATCCCTGGTTTCAAGGATGCTTGTCGTTCTAATATACCAATTGTCTTAGTCTGTTTGGGCATCTATAATAAAAATACCATAGACTGAGTGGCTTAAACAACAAGCATTTATTTCTCAGTTCTGGAGGGTGGGGAGTCCAAGATCAAGGCACCTGCAAATTTATTGTCTGCTGGGGGCTTGTCTCTTGGCTAATAGGGTGACAGACAGTCTTCTCACTGTGTCCTCCCATGGCAGAAAAGGAGTGGGCCAGCTCTCCAGGGACTCTTTTATAAGGGAATTAATCCCATTTATCAGGGCTCCACTTTCATGACCTAATTACTTTTCAAAAGACCCCACCTCCTAATACCGTCACATCAGGAGTTATGATTTCAACATATAAATTTGGGGGGACACATTCAGTCCCTTGTATCAACAGCAAAATCTATTTAAACTTACATCACATTATTGATGATTTCACATACCTTCTCCATCCTCAGCTTTCCCAGATTCCAAATATCTAATTACTCTGTGCATTTCCCCCTCACCCTCCTCCCTGGCTTTTCCACACTCTATTAACATTATGTCTGTCTTCTTGGTCTGCGCTGCGCTCACTGTTCCCCCTCTAGACTATGATTCCTTGTGAGTGGGGACCACCTATAGCCACTCAAAATAATTTTTATGTAATGCTTTTCGATCTCCCCTTGCACAGTAGTCAAGATTAATAATAGGAGTAGCAGTAGTTAGCGTGTTGGTTTACAAAATGTTTTCCCATTGATCATCTTCTTTGGTCCTCAGAGTGGTCCTGTGAGGTAGTCAGGTCCAATGATGTTATCCCAAAGCGGAGAAGACCCCGAGGTGCAGAGAAATTCAGGGGCTTGATTAAAATTATATCAGCAGGAAGCTGTTAGGAATTAGGGCTTTAGTCCAGATTATCTGACTCAAAATCTTTAACACTTTATGCTATTCCTTTGATAATGTTATTATAGTTGCCCATTTCTGAGTCTGATTCTATATTACTGAAATTCAGTGTCTAAAACTATGTATAGTACAAAGTTAGAGAATATTTCCTTTTTTTCTTTCAACATTCTTTTCCCCCCTATATTTCACTGGATTTGTTTTAGCTACTCTAGTTTAT